GTATTTTGGGATGTTTGGTGGGGACCTCTCTCTCTCTCTCTCTCTCTCTCTCTCTCTCTTTCCCTCCCTTTTGGTGATTTAATCTTTACATAATGACGATACTCGTTGACTTGATTCTCTCTCTCTCTCTCTCTTTTCTGTCTTATTCGAACTTTTAATTTTGAATGTTGAAGCTGGTGAGATGCTTCATGTTGCTGAGGCCTTCATTGAGAAAAATTATCACCCAACAGTCATTTGCCGGGGTAATTTTCATTTTCCTGCTGTTGGTTTCTTCTTGGATATTGATCATAATGTGGTCATTACCAACTTATTTTCTTTGCTATAGCCTACAATAAAGCACTGGAGGATGCACTTGCCGTGCTTGATAAAATCGCAATGGACATCGATGTGAAGGATCGTAAGTTACTTGAATGTCCTTATACATTTCAGCTGTCGTGTGAAATGGCTACCGCATATCATGTTTTCTAATTTAGATGCCAGATGCTGTAATTACTCAATATTATAATCAGAGAAAATACTGTTACTTCGATATATTTCCTCTCAAACAATTTCTGTTTATTTTTCTTCCCATCTAAGCTTATGTGACACTAATTGTAAATCTCTACCTTACTAATGAGACTATCGTGTGGCAGGCACTGCTATGTTGGGACTGGTCAAAAGCTGCATAGGCACTAAGTTCACAAGTCAATTTGGAAATTTGATCGCTGTAAGATCCTATTTCTTCTGCCTCGTTGATATTGTTGTGCAATTTCTGTTTACATATTTTTCTAATCTTCGATCATGATAAAGTTGTAATATGCTCCATCTCTATAATAGAGCTTTATGAATTTGTTGGGGAAGAAAAACTTAAAATGTTGATTGTTTGGCTGTTCTTTGATCTTCTTGTTCAATGAGGATGAGATCTTTATATTCATTGTTAAATTTTTAGGAGGGACTTATCTAGATCTGTTGCCAGATTTATTTTCATTTTGCAACACATATCACTGTGTATACACGGTTAGAATCTTATTGGTAGATAGTGCAAGTTTTCTAAAACATCTAAAATTTTCATAAGATAACTAGTGGAATGTTGAGGTTTTGTATATTTAGCTATGTTATTGGTCATTTTTCCAGGACTTAGCAATCGATGCCACTGCAATTGTTGGTGTCGATCTTGGCCAAGGCTTACGTGAAGTAGACATCAAGAAGTACATAAAGGTTGAGAAGGTTCCAGGTGGACAGTTAGAAGATTCAAGGGTTCTTAAAGGAGTGATGTTTAATAAGGATGTTGTTGCCCCCGGAAAAATGAGAAGAAAGATTGTCAATCCACGTATTATTCTTCTCGACTGCCCCCTAGAATACAAGAAAGGTGAAAACCAGACAAATGCTGAGTTGGTCAGAGAAGAAGATTGGGGAATCCTGCTGAAAATGGAAGAAGAGTACATAGAAAACATATGTGCACAGATAATCAGATTCAAACCTGATCTGGTTATTACAGAGAAGGGCCTCAGTGATTTGGCTTGCCATTATCTGAGTAAAGCTGGTATCAGTGCAATTAGAAGGTTGAGAAAGACTGACAATAATAGAATAGCCAAGGCATGTGGTGCTGTAATTGTGAATAGACCTGATGAGTTACAGGAATCAGATGTTGGGACTGGTGCTGGATTGTTTGAAGTTAAGAAGATAGGGGATGAATTTTTTGCATTTATAGTGGAATGCAAGGATCCCAAAGCTTGTACTGTGCTCCTGAGAGGTGCTAGTAAAGATCTTTTGAATGAAGTAGAAAGAAATTTGCAGGTAATTTAATCTTTCGTTGCAATGTTGGGAGGATCTTTTTGATGTTCTTTCCCATACTTAGCACATCTGTCATTTTCTTGATTCAGGATGCCATGTCTGTAGCAAGGAACATAATAAAAAATCCAAAACTTGTTCCTGGTGGCGGTGCTACTGAGTTGACTGTATCTGCTACACTGAAGCAGAAGAGTTCTTCTATTGAAGGCATAGAAAAGGTAATCCTTAATCCTTCGTGGAATGTGTTATCCTCTCTTTTCTTGAAATGTGGAATGCTCATAATCTACATGTTTAGCATGCATATTATTGGCTATTACCGATTTAATTGAAAACTGTCTTGATTTTTCGATGTCGATAAGTATTTTGGACCGACCTTGTATCTAGTGGCCTACCCATTACTTTGCCAAATTTATGGGAGTCATTGTTCTTTCACATGATTTATATCAAGCCCTTCACATGATTTGCTTGGTTTAGCTTTATTTTGTGGATTGCTGCCCTAGCTTTTGTGGTTAAATTGCAATTTGTTTCCCATGTGTGATTGAAACAGTGGCCTTATGAAGCTGCTGCCTTAGCTTTTGAAGCCATACCGCGAACTTTGGCACAGAATTGTGGGGTGAATGTAATAAGAACTATGACAGCGTTGCAAGGAAAGGTATTGAACTTTTGTTGTAACACATGATATGTTGTAGCCAGGCTTCATTTCTGACAACTATTATGTGTTGATTTTGTCTGATTTTCTGCCACTTTTTAGCATGCCAATGGTGAAAACGCATGGACAGGCATAGATGGAAACACTGGTGAAATCACTGACATGAAAGAGCGTAAGGTATGATTTCCTTTTCCTAGCCATAATCTTCCCTCTACCAAGGGTAACTTTTATAATAAATTAGGCCTCTTTACGTCCTATGTCCAAAAATTGAAAAACGATTCATGAGGTTTGAAAATTGTAAATATAGGGACTGTTGTCATTTGAACTAGTTTGAATGGAAATTTAATGCCTCTTTGGTCCTTAAGAGATTACTAACTTGTACATGCCCGACAATTTATGATGTTGAGTACTGTAACCAATATCTTGCTTGAATTCAATAGTAAATTCAGAAGATGACAATGACATAAGAGTTCTATTTTCCTCTTACATCCGTGCTGTTCTGGTGATTGTGGGTTTTGAATTATTATTTTTCCTTGGGACTGATCTAAGTTTTGCACTTTATCATGGCCTTATTCAGATTTGGGATGTGTATAATGTCAAGTCGCAAACATTTAAGACTGCGATAGAAGCTTCTTGCATGCTGCTGAGAATTGACGATATTGTTAGCGGCATTAAGAAGAAACAGGCACCAGGTGCAGGTCCATCAAAGCCACAAATTGAGACGGAAGCTGATGCAGATAATGAGCAAATTCTCCCCGAGTAAATTTTTTGTTCAAACTGCACTTTAACTTATTTGAGTTCTTCCATATATTTTGGGGGTAGTTTTCGTAGCCTTCCTATAGTGTTATCGAGCTGGCGAGAGCAATTGGGGTGGGTTCGATTCTTCAGAACTTTAAAGGTTCCTTGTGTTTTCTTAGGTTGGGACTTCTTAGATATGGTTAGCGTATGAATACAATTTTGTTACCACCGTTTTGTTTTTGGGTTGATGTTTGAGATAGTTATTTAATATTTCAATTTATACATGGAATTATGTTTCGCCACAAAAAAAACTCTCTTAAATTCGTCTAGAAGTGTGAGTACTGTTATGTACAAAACAGAGTTTGAGAACTTGGACGTGAGGAACTTGTTTACTTGGACGCACAGTGGCAAGTGTCTTGTTTAGAAACATAATAGTTTTGAACGGCTTGTCAACATGGTCTCTGTACTATGCTTGAATTTGGGATTTGTGGCATAATTTGTTTCTCTTTTCCCCTCCCTCTTGTGCTATGATAGATTTTGGAACTTTGAATTTGGAATTTGCTCTCTAACCTTAACTCTTCTGTAAATTATGGGATATGATTTCTTAGACAGAAGAGATGATACTTCACTCTGAATTAAGACTTCGCCAACAAACTTTGGAGGCTTGGTCTCTACTATTGCACATCATTCTTTCATTCTCAAAGAATTTAAGGTCATCTTGGTAGCTGTGTATCTTGTTTTGTAGCATTTTTATTTCTCCCCAAATCTACGGCGGTTGCATATTTTGCTCAATGTGGATCTTATAACGTAAAATAGTTAAATATAAATGTGGATATTTTATGATATTTAAATGTGACTCAGGTAAGATATTATATTAGATATTTAATTATACTATTTGACAAAAATTCTTCCAAAGTCACTATTCGGTTATATTAGATACAAAAATTCTTCCAAGAGTTATGTTAGATATTTAATTATACTAATTGACAAAAATTCTCTGGTCGAGTAAGTTGATTAAAAACTCATCAAATCTTTTTCCATATTTAAGTTATAATTATTTTCTGTGTGGGTGGACTAAAAAAAAAAGATAATCAAAACAAATTTCGAAGTCATTTAAAAAGAATTTTTTTTAAAAAAAAAGAGACAATTTGACAACTTAATGTGTTTAACAATGATCAAAAGTGCTTTTTAAATTTTAATAAATAAAAAGTAACTTCAAAATTTTGAAATAATTTAACATGTATTTAAAAAAAAAAAACAATGGAGAGATATTATTAAAAATAAAGACTTCAAAGTAATTACTTTTTTAATATGGTGCAACAAAAAAAATTTGTTATTTGAATCGCTTTCAGAAAAATATAAGATATCTTGTAGAAAAAAACATGTAACATATAAAAACATTATTATTAAACCTATTTATTTTTTTTAAAAAAAAGTGCTTAAACATACTTGCCTCCTAATTTTCACCTTTTGGTTAACATTAGTAGATAACATCAATTTACTTGGAATATTTTCTCGCATTCATCCGGTAAAAATAACACCAAATTTTCAGAGAAATGGATCCATTTCAAATAAAATATAAAAGCAAAAATACTGAGATATTTTTTTTAATTGATAAAATCAATTGGATTCAAGAAAAAATATCCAAAAAAGACTATTTTCTAGGTAAATGATAAAGTCAAGTATGATGAAAGTACCAACAAAAAAACGTAATATTCAAATTCCTTTGTTCCAAATCCAATTGAACTAAAAATCATAATTTTCCTGTTCCCCTACTGACCATATATCAGTTCCAACAAGTTCGAGGTTGCACGGTTATTTGTGGAACCACACTGAAACATATAGGTTTATAATACCAAAATATGGTTTCCCAATTTCGAATAAAACAAGCTATAAATGCAGAGTCGAATTTCATAATTACAAAGTTGTTAAATATGACAGAAGGAAAAGAGATAATAGTAATAACAATTAATAACTTACGCGCTTCTGCAACATCTCAGGTTTAGCAGAAGATATAAGTAACTTTCACACATAACTGTCTATTAGCGACTTCCTCATCTCGTCAACAATGGAGCTTGGTTGAGCCTCTCTCAATTTGAAAACGCTTTCAACGACCGATAATTCGGTGGCAGTTGTGTCTGAACCACAGAATGCAGTCCAGTCATTGACAATCAATCCAGCAGCAATCACTTCACTTCCACGATTCACAGTTCCAGCAACCAACGGGACCTGAAGAAGAGTCGATAGTTCGTCCAAATCTTCAATAGATGTATGTGGATGAACCTGCAGAACGTTTGCACAATTCCAAGTTTCAGAGAATTTTTAACATGAAGTTGAAAACAATGAGACAACACCTTGTTAAAAAAGCATAGGAAGGGTGAAAATTACCAAGCCACCCCTATTCGTGAAGCTACAGTAGCTTCCCACGAGAACATTACCAGCAACTGTCTGCCTAAACACCTCTACTCCAAGAACATCAGCAATGAGCTCTTCAGTTTCCTAACAAGGGATAGGAGAACATGTTACTAAGAGCTAAATCAGTCTTGAGTTACGTTATATATAATTTTTTTATTTTTTATATATAAAAAGACGATCCACTCAGTGTCCGTCTTTATTTAGATATGTGCTCAACATTGACAATTGACAAAGCCCAACTAGAATTAATTTTAAGGAAGGATAAGAAAAAATACCCGGTCAAGATCAGTATGTGTGAGAGCAACATGATCATTACAAGCAATTGTATTCCCCAGAGCAGACAGTCTCTCTTGTATACGTTGAACAACAACTTGGTCAGGTAGACTGTTTCTCAAGTGCTGAAGTTCTTCAAAATGATAAGAATACAAACATAACGTCAATTTTGTATTTGGCATTACACATTACACATCATCATCACATTTTAACATAAATCAAAGAACATCCAGACGAGTTTTAAGAAAGACGGAACAAACTTAATTTCATAAAGCATCCTCACTACAGGAAATTGTATTGACACAAACTTAATAATGCCTACGCCTTCAGTTTCAGGTATCATGTGCAAGTCATGAAGGAAATAAAAGGTAGCAGTGAAAGACAACAGCAGAAGTGTTAATTTACAGATGTAGAAAGATGAAAATGCATATCAATTTGTTAGTGACTGCTAAAATTACATAAGAAATGTTTAGGCTTCACTGACACCACAAAAACAGAACCTCCAAACAGACATACAGAATTTAAAGTTTCGAACTCAGAACACGATCATAAATGAGAATAATTAGACTCTTATTGATCAAGGAGGTAACCATTTACAATTTTATCATGTAAACGGCCAGTCAGAATCTATGCTAAAACAATAGTATGACTGATCCTCCTGTCAAAGTTTTAGCAGGGGAGGATAAATTAATTTTAGTTCCATTAACTTCACTACAATCTCTCTCGCTTGTTAAAAGAGAGATAAAAATGTTCAAAGAGGCATAAGACTGCAGGTAATATACCCTAATTACAAATGAAAGGCGTAACATGACAAGAAGATAGAAAAAAGCTTGCCTTGGTCAGTAGTGGTATGGGGTACAAGGAGCCCATTTTTGTTTCCTGCAGTAAGGAATATAAAAAATGAATAACTGATATATTATATCAACATGCAATGCAAATTAGTATGGGCCTCGTATCATTATGGGAACCTAAGATGCTGAAAATAATGCGACAAAAAAATTTCACAAACCAGCACATAGACGGCCAATAATGCGAGTGCCGTCAATGGATGTTTTAACAACCGGAATGACACCAGCTAATTCAGCTTCAAAGGAACTAAACCATGCAAACAATGCGTGAGAAATCGGTTCCCATTCAAAGTAGACAACTTAAAGCGAGATTATTGTCTATTTTGATCTCTTAAGCAAAAGATACAGAAGCATGATCAGGAAACATGAGAGGAAAAAGAAAAAAACCTGTAGAAGTTCTCAGAGCCACCAATTGCAACCAAACAGTACGCATTAGTGAGTTTGGAGAAAACCCCAATTTCACATGAGTTCTCAAACATAAGCCCTGCAGAACAACAGCAAGTGAGAAACGCACTAGTTGACTCAAGCCCAATGAATATCATTCATTTAAAGATACAATAAAAGTAGCCTGAGAAGGAAACATGAACATGAGTAAAACAAGGAACAAAAAATTGGTGAGACTTACTGTTCGCCATGATTGCAAAAGACAATCAATCAACAACAACCTCCCTTGACGACAAATTCAGAGTCCCTTGCTACCCCTGCATAGTAAAAGGAAGTTAGATGTGACCCTCTCTCGATTATGTCAAGATAACTGAAGACCAGTAATGCTGGAATCACTTCCTCAGCTCAATTGACTAGTTGAGCTGGAAAAACAAAAATCATTGGCTAGACCGTGTTCAAAAAAACCAAAGTCTATCAGTTTTCCATTATTCATAACCAATGATATATCTTACGCTTACACAAAGATTCCACACTCCAAAAAAAAAAAAAAAAAAAAA